GAGATAATGCTGTGTTCTGCCTACTTACTGTGCACAGCTCCTGGGGGAAAGATTTTGAGAAGGACTGAGTTTCTTATATTCTTACAATATTCCCAAGCTATTGACATGCTGCTGTGATAAGCAGGTACTTGCTGTAATTCTACATAAATAGTCATCCTCAATGCCCAGAGATATAATTACCCAACTCTAAATTAAGATCAATACTTCTAGTACTAGGTATCTCACAGAAAATAAAGAAATAAGTTGACGATCCCAAGGCGCCTCTGAGCTGCCCAGCTATTGGAAGTAGTATCTCCTAGTTTCAAGTTTTTTTTTATTATTATAACTGAAGGGTTTACCATGTTTGTCTTCAGGATAAGACAGCTTGTAGCCTTTGCCTGATACAAAACTTTATTCCCCGAATCTCTGAAACTCATTCCAATTCATAAACCTTTTTTTAAGGAGTTGGTTAGGGTTTCTCACAAACAGAAATCATCCTCTTTCTCTCCACAGTGTGACGTCAGAAATACAATCAGGAGGAACAAAAGGTCAGAGAGGCTCAGGGACCTAGTACTGCTATCTTAGAGTCGGATGACAGAACAGTCTGAATGCAGAGTTGAACAGAACTTAGAGTTGCCTCATGTCCTGTGCCAGGTAGTGGGGTCAAACCTAACATCACACACAGAAAAGTAATCTCACAGAACTTTGTACAAGATTGTTTAGTTGTATGAAACAATCTTTCCTAACTTGTAACTCTTGTCTTTTTCTTATTTTCCCTCCCTCTATTTTTCCCTGATCTGACTGTCTTGTCCATGGCTGAAAATATCCATTCACACTTAAAGAATTATTTTTTTTTCTGATCCTCCCTGTGACGACTTGCAGAAAAAACCTGGGGGCAGGGGATTTATTTGTGTGTTTGTGTTTTATTATCTGAGAGGCATTCTGCGATCCTTAATCTAGGAAAAACAAAAACCAAAACAAAGCACGCATTCATGATGAACTAGTGCTTGGCAGGCCCACAGTAGAACAGTGAACTGTTAAATCAGGAAATGCTAACTTTTATCTCATATCTTTAACTGGCTGCATGAAATTCTGCAAATTCCTAAATGTTTAGAAGATTGAGCTGGCTCCTAGATAAGCAGACATCATACTACTTAGGAGCCAGCTTCATGACTGTGGTAAGGCATAAATATAATTAATGAACTCCAATGTTTGACTAATTCATTAATGGCATCATCAACATCAGAAATATCTCTGGAAAAATGTTAGCTCTCACTGAGAATCTTTTCATTTTAACTCAGGGGGGTTAAAAACAATTGATGCTCTAATCATCATTGCTTATTTATTTTATCTATCTATTTTTGTAGTTGAAAATTCATAAGGCTCACCAAAATACCTTAGCAATATAAGTAAATAGAAGAACTCCTCTGTTTTCAACCTGTTTCAACAACGACTGAGAAAGAAGGGATGCCCAGTAAGAAACTCATCCTTGGTCTCTCATTACTACATAGCACGTCTGGCCTCTGTTTTGTTGGGAACTTTAACAGCTTATCTTTGTTACTCCAGGAATCCTCATAGGACTTATTTAAATTATAAGCAGTCTTGGTGCTAACTAGATCTTTGCTTTTAGATAGACAGGCAGGCAGGCAGGCAGGCAGACAGACAGACAGACAGACAAAAAGACAGATATCTCTGTGTTTCAGATGCAAAATACAGAAACAATTTTTCAAGCATACATGTTTCTTTTAAAGCATACATAGTCTTTAAAGAATACATATTCTCTTTTAGTCTTAGTTTTCTTGCTAGCTATAATAATTTTATAAAGGCAATTGCTGTCCATAGATTTATTTCTTTAATATTCCCATTCTTCAAATGCTTGTTTTTTTAACAATAGAGAGCTGAAAGTTGAAAATAAAGTGCAAATTGAAATCACATTGTAAAGAAAAAAACCCATTCTGCAATTTCAGAAATGGTCCTTTCTACAGACACCATAGCCAGCAGCCTGATTTCCACATCAGCACTTCATTATCGGAGAGTTCATTACTGGAGTCTTGGTGCAGGAGCATCTTTAAGAAGGTGGTAATTGTGTTTTCATGGGTTTTGCCCTCTCTGTGACTATCACATTTATTTGTTTTTATCTAAAAGGAAGTCTGTAAAGTCAAAATGTGATTGTTTCTTTTGTTTATTCATAGTGTTGGCTTCAGTGACCTTTGTGGTTTGTGTTGCTGTGATTCACTTTAGTGCTAACTGAGAAAGAGCAGTTTCTAGGGTGTGATGATTCTCCTGAATCTGCCTCAGGGATACTTTTGAATCTTTGAGCCAAGAGTCTTCTTTGAACCTCAAAAATCAGTGCCTAGAAAGCATGGGAAAGTCAATGTCACCTGTATCTGGGATTATAAAATCACTCTACAAAGTGTGGACTAAACCCATTTCCTAATGGTTTTATATTTCTAGCTTTTTTAGAGTCACTTGTAGCTCCCCTGAGTATCCCAGTCAATGGTGTTTGTTCTCCAGGAACTCTCCGTGTACAACTAAGGAGGCACAGTAATCACTGATTATGCAGGTGTGTTAGTGTGCCCTCATGCTTCTTCCTAGGAGCCCTAAGGCACGTGCATTACTTAGGTTTCTATTGTTGTGACAAATGCCAAAAGAAACTTGGGGAAGGAAAGGCCTATTTGGCTTACAGGTTGCAGTACACCATCAAGGGAAGCAAGGGAGTGAACTCAAGGCAGGAGTTTGGAGGCAGAAGCTGATGCACAGATCATGGAGGGAGTCTTCTTACTGACTTGCTCCCCATGACTTGCTCAGACTTCTTTCTTATACAATTTAGAGTCACCAACCCAGGGGTGACATTGCCCACAGTGAGTTGAATCCTCCCACATCAATCATTTATCAAGAAAATGCTCTCAGGGACTTGCCTAGAGGCCAATCTAATAGATGCATTCTCTTAACTGAGGTTCCCTCTTCCCTGACGACCCCGCTGGATTGTGTCAAGAAGACAAAAACTAACCAAAATAGAGATCATTCATTCTCACTCTTCCGAGGGGTGTGTCCAGAAGGTTCAGACACTATGAAGTAGGTGAGGATAATATCATATTAAGCTGTTCAGATGAACACTTCCTCTTACAGAGATGTAATCCTATCATAATAAACACTTGCAAGAACAAAATAATGTAGAAAAACAGCAACAGATCAGTTACACAGGAAACAAACAAGCATAGCTTCTGCTTTTGGTTTGAATAAAAATGGTTCCCGGTAGACTCATACATTAGAATGTTTGGTTCTCAATTAGTGGGGCTGTTTGGAAAGGATTGGGTGTGCCCTTGTTGGAGGAACTGTGCCACACTGGCTTTCAGATTTCAAAAGCCCATGCCACACCCAGTACCAGACTCTCTCTGTCCCTCCCTTCTTCCCTTCCTCCCTCCCTCTCTCTGCTGCTGCTGCTGATGTTGCTGCTACTGCACCTTGCAGATCATGTGAGCTCGCAGTTAATGCTCCAGTTTCATGCCTGCCTTCCACCATGCTCCCTGCCATGAGGTTTATGAACACTCTGAAACTGTAAACAAGACCCTAGTTAAACGCTTTCGTTTAAAAGTTGCCTTGGTCATGGTGTCGCCTCACAATAGAACAGTAACTAAGACAGCTTCTAAAATAGCTAGCACCTTAAACAGCTTAGCCACTGAAGCACATATAAAACAGAAAAAAAAATAGTCACCACAAAAAAAGCATTGCACTAAATAACTGCATTTTCATAAAGCATCTTAAACATTGGCTCTATATGAGCTCTTTCCATTTTAAGAAAACATTAAATGCATTAAACATGAAATTTCAAATTCATAAGATACACAAATTAGGGGTGAAAACTCTGTTTTCTTTAGTCATTATTCCTACCTTAGCAAAAGGTCTTATTAGTAAGTTACAGTAGTAGTTGGTTTAAAAATTAATCACTAAATGGAATAACAGCAACTATTAAAAGCCAGTTCAAATTTAAAGTCAGTATAAATAAAGATGAAGCATCCCAAATTATAACTAAGAAACTCAATTTAGAGAATTAGATTTACAAAAATTTGATTTGCATGCAAGTCCCCTTCTACAAACTAAGTCACAGCAATGGAATTCTGTGGTGGTTTTCCTGGTCCCTGAACAGACAGTAGGGTTCCAGTTTCCAAGTAACCATCTCAGAGAGGGCAGCATTACAGCTTTGCCATCAGGTGATACCTAGGAAGGCGGTCTGGTTTGGTGAGAATACACTATAACAAACTATTATGGCAAATCTTGAAAACTTGTCACTCAAGATAGATATAGTTTCTCTGTTCTGAAGTGTGCTTGAAGAATACATGAAATTATATGAATATGATGATAGAGCAGATATAATTTAGAAATTACTGACTGTCTATGAGAGCAATTTCTCATTCAGCACAAAAAGGGAGGACTCATATCTATCACTGTATGAAAAATGACCCAAAGACATAGTGGCTTAAATCTTTATATTTGTTGTGGACTTCACAAATCGGAAATCGTGAGGCATTTGTTATTCCAGGTGGATTAGCTGGGATGACTTATATAATGTCATGAAGATGGTGACTGCTAACAAAACTCGCAAGATAACTTTGCCCACCTACATGGAACCTTGGTAAGGACAGCTCTGACTCCTGTGCACATGGCACATCTCACGTGAGGTCTGGGACTCAAATGTGAACATTTCAAGAGACAAGCACAGAGGCTGCAGAATTTTTAAATCTCAAACTCAAAAGTTCCTAGGAGTCATTTCTTTTATACACCACTGCCCAAAGCAAATCTAACACCTGCCAGATTCAAGAACACAGAGAATGGTAAAGATACCTTGAAACAGCATATGAGATGGACGATTACAGAAGAGGGAATCACACCATAGAGGAAAGCACATGGGTTTCTTAGGTGGGAAAAGCAGGTAGTTCATGAACTGAAACTTAGAATGCAGCCATACTCGCTACCAGAGATCAATGGAGGCAAAGACAAGCTAATGTAAGTTTTGCACTCACCTGGCGGAATTGTTCCAGGTCAATTTTGTTACCCACCAAGACAAGGGGAATTTCATAGGTGTGACGGACTTGGAAAATAAGTTCCTTGAACTTGGCAGCCTCCTGGAATGACTGGCGGTCCGTGACAGAGTAGCAGATGATGAAGCCCTCACCCCCACGCATGTACTGCTCCCGCATGGCTGTGAACTCTGCCTGAATGAGAGATGAGCAAAGGGGAAGGTTTTAGTTGGAGGGAGTTAATAGGAAATATAATGCATTCTTGTGAAATGTGAATATTTTAAACTATTGAGAGTGTTAGATTTTCGTCGTAACCTAGATTTAAGAGCTCCTGCACAGACCTGGCAAATAACAAGTCATAAAAATGAGATTTTGTTTTTATATTTTAATGCCTTCGCTTCATAAATGAATCAATTTGTGTATTATAAACATTATGTCTTTGAGATTATGTTAGATATGTCCTAGCTTAGTATTTAAACATTTTCTTACAGCCTGTCTTTTGAAACATTTTTTTTTCTAGAAACCATTGAAAACTTATGATCAAAGGAATCTGGCTCCACTTTTCAAATGAGAGCCCATTTGTACTGAAAATCTGGAGCAACTCCTCTGGAGGATTTGGCAAAATGAACTACTTTTCTATACAAAAAAAAATATGAACACAGAGACTAGAATTATGGCTGAGATAGAGAGTCTGCCTGGCATGCAAAAGGCCCTGGATTTAATCCCAATAGAGAAAGAAAAGAAGGAGAGAGAGAGAGAGAGAGAGAGAGAGAGAGAGAGAGAGAGAGAGAGAGAGAGAGAGAGAGAGAGAGAGAGAAGGGGGGGAGAGATTAAAGTTAGAGATTAGATTACCTTTAAATCTAGCCAGCTGCCTAGTGTGGCTAATATAGCTGCATTCATATAGTCTGGTGTTCTTAGGTTTGGCTCAGAGAAGCTGAGAAACAGAAGGACCTGACTGTTTGAACATAGATTAATTTCTACACTCTGCTAACCCCTTCATCTTCACTTTCTGCAGAAGAAGGCAAGCTACATTCCAGATTGGGCTCGTGTGTCATCTGACTGGCCCTTTAATGCTGCTTCCCAGCTTTATTACAATTTCTCAACATCTGAAAATCCTAACATTAAACTGTAATCCACAGAGTTTCTTTAAGTCAAAAATATGCTATTTATTTCTTTATTCTTGGTCTGAATCTACTGCTAACACCACAAGGAGAGATTAGGAAGATGCAATGGATAACTTACAGCTTGGGCTTGTCTAAAAAACAAGCCACACTAAACAGCAAGAACATACGAGAGTTTATTGTGATTTGGTCAATTTGTGCTATTAGTAACCAAAGAATGGAAACAAAATTAGACTTCTGGTGTGGGAAGTCCTTCTGTACATGTGCTGCTTTTATTGGTTAGTAAATAAAGCTACTTTGGCCTATAGCAGGGCAGAATAGAGTAAGGAAGGAATTCCAAGCAGAGATAGAGGAGAAAAGAAGGCAGAGTCAGAGAGACACCATCTAGTCAGCCTCTGAAGGAGAAAGATGCCCAGGGAACCTTACAGGTAAACCACGAGCCTCGTGGTAAATACACAGAATAATAGAAATGGGTTAATTCAAGATGTAAGAGTTAGTTGATCAAGAAGCCTGAGCTAATAGGCCAAACAGTGTTGTAATTAATATAGTTTCTGTGTGATTATTTCAGGTCTGGGACGCTGGGAATGAACTACAAACTCTGCCTACAAACTTCAGAACTAGGAAAAAGGAAACCTTAACCTAACACAATGAAAGAACAATTAAAATGTATGCTCGGAATACTTCTCTAACAGATGTTCGTTTAATTTATATAACTTTTAAAAGGGAAATAGTTCATTACGCTGAAAAAAATTAGAAAATCTGAGAATTTACTTATAAGTGTGGACACACTGAAAGAACTATAATGATTTTGAGTTAGTGATTTCTTTAAGACATTTTCAATAAATATGGAGTAATTGCCAACAGTATCAGGCTAAAACAACGGCTTCAAGGCTTTAAGAATCAGAGCATAAAGAAGTCAGAAGATGTGTCTAGAAACAGACAGCTTACTGCTACAGAAGCAATTAAAATTTTCACCCACTGACATGAACTTTTATAAACTTAATATATAACATATACATGCATTGACACTATGCTTAATATTACTTAACATTAAATATTTTTACTTCAACCCTAAATGTCACACAGTAAGTAAAATGCACTCATATGATACAATATAGTTCCTACTTCACTTAGAGTATTCACCTCTACGACAGAAATGAATGGGCCATAAAATGTCTGTGGCCCCTTGTTACTCTGTTTTATTCTCTCTTTTATTGAAAACAGATTTTTTTCAGACAATATATTTTGAATATGGTTTCCTCTTCCCCTGTTCCTTCTCATCTCCCTGCCCATACAAATCCACACCCTTATTTCTTCTTGTTTGAAAAAGTCATCTAAAAATAATAAAGATAAGATACAACAAAACACAAACAAAATTAAAATAGGATGAAACATTCAAACATGCTAAAAAAAAAAAAAGAGCCAAAATAAGACTCAGGAAATACACTCGGACTTTTATGAATTTGAAGCTCTGTGCTTCAACCAGAAATACACACTTGCTAATAATAAAGCAGAAAACTATGGACCACAATACTAACTCTCCTTTCCTAAACATACAATCAATCTTTTCAAATAGAAATGACAAAGTTATCAAAGAAACATAGTAGATCCTTAGGAAAATAAATATAGATTCATTATAGCAGTTAAACAAACTTCATGGTCCTGATACGCCATGCAAGTCAATCCATATTGAGAACCAAATATACTGTGTACTCTTTCCGGTGCAGTATTGCAGTTCCTTCTGTTCATGCATCATAGTCTTTTTTAAAGATATTTTTATTTGTTTATATGGGTGTCTATAAATGGGACATGAGTTCAGGTGTCCAAAAGGCACCAGCTTTCTCTGGAACTGGAGTTATTGCTGACGATTGCAAAGCCATCAGTGTCGTAGCTGGGGATCTAGCGCCAGTCCCCTGCAAGGTCAGTAATTGCTTCTAACTCTAGGGCCATCTCTCTAGCTCCACGCATCATAGTTTTGCTGCTTTATAAACAGTGCATTACATATTCTTAAAATCCCTCTCACTAAGATTCAGTTATGTCTGAGAAGTAGACTTGTTCAAGGAAAACATTCCTCTGCTTTTGAGAAACTGTGATGATTTCACTGCCAAAGATAATAATGCTATTGTATATGAAAGTGGCTGTTGCTTTTCATCCCCTCCAATGCTACTTTAAACTAATTTGTTTACTCTGGGATGAAAAGAACCATCTTTCTTTGATCTGCTCATTATCTTTGAGTCATGTTGGTGATCTCCTATGTTGACTATTCATTCATGTATTTGCTCTATGTGCGAATCCAGTTAATTGAATGAAGGAGTTTGTGGTGTTTTGATGTTTGTTGTTTTCCCAATTGAGGATTACTCCAACTTGTACTAGACACATGCCTTTCCATGATATTTTCTATATTTAATATAAGGCAATATATTTGATTCTATCAGCAATAAATATAGCATAAAAATCTAATAAATATGACAAAAAAGATAGGCATAGTATATAAAAGAAAAATTCCCAGGGAACAATATTTAGAGGTTGAATGAAAGCCCCGCAGAGATTAGTAATGAGATTAAAGGGCATATATGTTACATTAAAATAGACAGAAAGATAAAGTGGAACACACCTATAATTCCAGTATTCAAACACTGAGTCAAAGCAGTTGCAATCTCAAGCCAGCCTGAGCTACACAGTGGGACGCTATCAAAAATGAAAACAACAGCAAAAGTACAGCAGCTCTTGTACCTAATTATGTTCATGTTCAGTCTTTGTCTTTGCAACCTGAAGGCATGATAAGGGGGTTGCAATGGCATGTGTTTCAGGCTGACAACTCACTGAGATTGTTATCATTCCACACATAATGTCTCAGCACCTTGATTTCCTCATGCAGGAAAGAGGCATTAGAATGTTCTTAGCCTGCCCTATATAGACGAAGAAGAATCAAATTAGAGAACAAACATGAAAATGCTTTGATGATTTTTTTAATGCAATACAGTTCAAACCTAGTGTTACCTTCATTATAGACTTGACACACAGGAAATCTTCACTGGGGGAGTAGGCATGAGACACCTGGGAGAGGCATTAAGTGTGAACCTGGGAGGTTTTCAAACACATCAGAAAATTCACAAGATTCGAGTCAGAGACCTTTCACCAATGAAGCAAATACAATGAAACACACACAGTGATGGGGTGACTCGAAATAGCTGGCTTTCTCTTTGTCACTCACACAGAATCTGTGCACGTCATTTTCTTAAACATACTCGGGAGGAGATGCCCTTCAATTGAAGAATGGATGAAGAAAGTATGGAATATATACATATTAGAGTACTACTCAGCAGTAAAAAACAAGGACTTCTTGAAGTTTGCAGGCAAATGGATGGAAATAGAAAACACCATCCTGAGTGAGGTAAGCCAGACCCAAAAAGAGGAACATGGAATGTTCTCACTCATATTTGGTTTCTAGCCATAAATAAAGGACATTGAACCTATAATTCGGGTTCTTAGAGAAGCTAAATAAGAAGGAGAACCCAAAGAAAATCATATAGGCATCCTCCTGAATATTAACCTTCATCAGGCGATGAAAGGAGACAGAGACAGAGAACCACACTGGAGCACCGGACTGAAATCTCAAGGTCCAAATCAGGAGCAGAAGGAGAGAGAGCACAAGCAAGGAACTCAGGACCGCGAGGGGTGCACCCATACACTGAGACAATGGGGATGTTCTATCAGGAACTCACCAAGGCCAGCTGGCCTGGGTCTGAAAAAGCCTGGGTCAAAACTGGTCTCGCTGAACATAGCGGACAAGGAGGACTACTGAGACCTCAAGAACAATGGCAAAGGGTTTTTGATTCTACTGGACCTATTGGTTTCGTGGGAGCCTAGGCAGTTTCGTGGATGCTCACCTTACTAGACCTGGATGGAGGTGGGTGGTCCTTGGACTTCCCACAGGGCAGAGAACCCTGATTGCTTTTTGGGCTGACGAGGGAGGAGGACTTGACTGGGGGAGGGGGAGGGAAAGGGGAGGCAGTGGTGGGGAAGAGACAGAAATCTTTAATAAATAAACAAATTAAAAAAAACATACTCGGG